GATTATTAGTTTATTTGTGTACCTTCCATAGCTAGGTCACCGGGCTATCCCTCCATCTGTTTATTTAAATTACCTTTTTTATTTTTGACAGAGAAATGTATTAAATATTCTTCCATCAGGCGCTCACATTTAGTGATAATACTTTAGGGATAAAACCTTCGCTGCACTCACCTGGGTTTTATAGTTCACCAGTGAGGACGGCATCAGCAGGATAAGGCACTTAATCCCCATAAAGAGAAACTTTATTATGAAGTTGGTGATGCCGACGGTCCACAGAACCTCCCAGAAACCCAGTGGCTCGATGGTGGGGCTGAGGAAGATGAGGCTGGAGGGAGGAGGACATTCAGGTCAAATCCTTTCAGTTCAATGCACACACTTTTATTACTCCAACTTTGGCATGTTAAGTTTTTATTACGCATAATTGTTGTGTACCGTAATGTGCGGTCCATTTTACATGACTCATTTCCATTTTATACAAATCCAATGGACAATAAAGCAATCTGAGTATTTTGAAGTGATGCATTCACTCTTACCAATAGTGGAGTGTCTCACTGAAAAAGGTGTAGTAAAGCAGGAGGGTGGAGGAGGTCAGGAACACTAGCAGCCATACACACTGCAGCTTGGAGTGGCGATCCTGAGGGAACACACAGACAGAAAACACATGGTTATGGATGTATTGACAAAGAAATGTATAAGGAATAAAAAAAATATGTTTTTCTGTTCTGAACTTACCTGAAGAAATACTTGAGTTTGAATGTTTTTATTCACATATAGAAAAGTTGTGAAGAGGCCAACCCCAACTGCTAGCCCTGTGAAATGGAGAACATAGTTTAATATGTTGTGTTGTGCTAACAGTTGCAATAATGGCTTACAGTTTGTGATATTATTTAATATAACTTTTTGTCATGTTTGCTAAAAACTGCCACTATATCCAGACAGTAGTGCCAGAGATGGATAAACTCTGGAAAATATCATGTTTCTCTGCATCTGCCCAGTGTTTCTAATGGCAACTTCGCCCGAATGATAACAAACATTCAGAGCTGAGGTGTCAATCAGTCTAATCAAACTGACAATCTAGGCAGCGCTGATATCAAGTTTTTATGACCGTTTTGCCTATTAGGCTGTAAAATGAGGCCGTCATGTTGAGAGCCAAATTCAAGCGCCACCTCTCTGCTCCAAACCTCCTCTTTTCATAGCTAAACCGTAACATTTTGAAGCGAGAAATAGGCAATAAAGTAAGAGCATCTGGATTCATATTTGATTAGTGCTGCCTAGTTTGACAGTTCACAGGAAACTCCTTGGATATTATTGGTTGTTTCCCTTTGGCATAGTGGAATCTTTCAAATAGCATGTGGGAGAGGGAGGAACAGGATGTCATTTTGCACTTCAACTGTCTAATATAATATTTCCAGGATATAGTGAATCTGACAAAGTTATTTAAAAAAAAAAAGTAACCAACAGTAGCCTTAACTCGAACTCACCAAGAGCATGTTGGACGACCAGTTTAGCACAAATGATGACGAGAAAAGGAAGACTCTTTTGAAGCCAGCGGAAGAGACACCGGAGCTCAGAAAAGGAGGAACTGGGTTCTCCTGAGTCCAGATCAGAGTCCGGCGGTTCCAGCTCGGCCTCTGGATTGGAGTGGTGCGGCCCCCGGTTGTGTGAGTGCGGCTGAGAGTGTGTGTGGCTGTGGGAGTTGACTCTGGACCTCCTGGATGACGCGCCTCCACCGCTCTCCCCCGGCTTGCTGGTCATATTTACCCGCACCTCGTTGCTCTCAGGGCTGGCAGCAGCCGCCCCGGGGGCTGGAGGCCTGGTGGGCTCTGGCTGCAGGTTCAGGGATAAACCATTTCCTTCATGAGCGCCCCGCTCACTTGAATTAGGCTGCATTACAGCAGGGGAATACCTCAGTTGCAGTGCTCTTCTGGAATCAGGCCTAACACATAAATTAAAAAAATAACTTTTATAGCAACAGTCACAATGTGTGGCATTAACTGAGATCAACTTTTATAATACTTCACAAGTTCCACAGTTGTCAGTTAATCTAAGTAGATATTACTGTTTAGCATAATGATTTTCTGCAAGCTCCTGCATTTATCTTTGAACAGAGGGCTCTCTGATCAAAAACGACTTTTATAGACTAGGTTAAAGTGTAAATAAGTTAAGTTTGTGATGATAGGAATAGGGTTAAATTGTGGAAGTAGTACCAATTAACATGTATTGTGTAATTTCTAAAAGCTGACACACCAAAACAAGAAGACGTCAGTATGTTGTGTAAGTGGTAATCATCAAGTTAGCAAGAGTTTAGTTGCTAACTTACATTGACTAGCAGTCAGTGTTGCATTGAACGTCTCCCCAGGGCTATAAGTTAAATGTTTTTGAAAGCTGAGTAACGTCAGCAGAACTATACATTATTAATTCACAGACAATCAAACCAAAAGTAGTGACAGACAGATAAATAAGACAGCTGACCGTATCCTGCTGTGCCGTTAGCATTAGCAGCTAACAGATGTTTCCATCAGGCTATTGTTAAAAGCTTCAGCTCACCTGTCATTCTGATCCCGGAGTTTCATAGTAAGCTATTGGTCTCCATTTAATATAAAGTCCAAGTCGCCAAACGAAACGAAAGCAAAATAAACCAAAAGGAAAACTAAGCTGTAATCGTTCAGGCTAAGCCATACGCTGCTCGTTCAGACCATGGTTGGTTCAGACATATTATTGACGCTGTTTACGACAGCCGACGTCGCAAACTTCTTCTGCTGAAGTTTTTGCGGCGTGTCGGATGTAGAATGCTGCAATGCCGCCACCTACTGGAACATGGTTCAACTACCCTCAACAAGTTAAAATCAGTATGGAAATTAACATAATTTAAACATACATGACCAGTGGTACTAATACCACACAGTACAACTATTCAATTTCAAGTAAAAGTACTGCATCAAGAATGGTACTTAAGTCAAAATATGTTTGCACTTTACCTCAGCCACATCATAGACTCTATGCATTACATTACACACAAGTACAACATTATTTTGTATTACAGCTGATTTGTATTCCATATGCTATTCCATTACAATGTACATACTGTTATATTTTACTATATATTTTTTTATATTTTCTAGTTCTCTTCCTGTGTTTTTAATTCTTGTTTTCATGCACCACGACACCAAGTCAAATTCCTCGTACGTGTAAACCTACCTGGCAATAAACCTGTTTCTGATTATGATTAAGTATAATTAGTACTTTTACTACTAAAGTATTAGGACTAAGAGTACTTATTGGAGAAAAAACTCTAAAAATATTCAAACATTTAAGGTAATGTGCGTGCTGACTCACAGTAAAGGCTGTCACGCACTCGATAGTATTTTAATAAGTTGAACCTGTGCTAACCCTGCAATGACATGTTCAAATGGCTACTGTCAAAAAGGCCACTATATAAATGTTTTATCTCAAAATAAGACACTTATCATTCACTGAAGGAGTTTCCATGACTTGGGCCCCAGATATTCAGTTCTTGGTCACATACAGGATTCATCTGTGAAGGAACATCTAAAGTGCCAGACAACATCAAAGGTGAGCATTTACCCACTCAAGTTTGAAGACGACAACGTTTTATTTTATTTCGACCAGCCAAATGTACCTATGTTATAATCATGATGGTAAATAAGTATCTTTCTATGCTGCATACATTTTTACTGATAGACAAACTGCACTCCCTTCTGAGACTTGGACGCCCAAGTTGTTCATGCAACCCCTGTTTTACCCTCTCTCTCCACCTAGTTGGTCCAAGTGTATAACCAGCAGAAATAATCTTTCCATCTTAACTTCCCACATGCTGTACTGAATGTATTTTTCATGTCATTTGAGTGCACTTTTTAAAATGCATAACATAAGGACTGTGATGGGTGGATGAGTTCTGGGGATACCAAGCCTGGCCTTAAAATGATGACGTTGGACATGTTGAAAAGGAATCAAGAAACATTCCCATCCAAATATAGATTTGTGACAATCATGTTTGATACAATGGCTATCAAAGTACAAACTTTATACCCAGAAAATGTCTACTTTTGTGGTATGGGGGATATAATGAATGTGATGGACATTGCCTCTGTGCGTCTTGTTTTGATGATAGTGGACTTGCAATAAATTGGAGGCCTATATGACCAAGTCTCTGTCACCATGTCTGTCTTCAGTTAAGATTTTTGGTATTACAGAAGTTCATCCTTATTAACTTTAGGAATTCTTTATTATCTGACTTCATATCTTTTTAAGTAATCTCAAGTAAGAACATCATAAATCACTTATCAATGCATATGTCTTTTACATAGGAACCAAACTAATTATTTAATCTTGCCAAGCTTTACCCCTTTGTAACGCTTGTTTTATTTCATTCAAACAAAAAACATATGAGCAAAATGGGCCCCTCATATACTACACAAAAGCTCCTATATTTGTATGCGGACTGCATGAGCGTGGCATATGGGCTTTGTGTACAATAGATGGTAATACCTACAATTTTAGCATATAAAAACAACTTAATGCCATCTTAAAGTAAACTCTCATGAGGCTTTAATATACTTTTTGCACTTCTAGCAGGACGTGAGAGATGTTTGTGAAAATGAATGCTTGCCACATGTTGGCAGACTATGCTGCACATCAACTGGATATACATTTTACAATGACTTCATTGAGGTAATACTACTTGCAAACATTGTTTCTTATCAAAGTGTATTGGTCATGCTTTATATTTCAAAATGTGGCACCATTCTGTTATGGAATGCAGATTGATCACATGGAGACAGTGGAATGTTTCCTGATGCACACAGTTACTAGGTATTGGTTTAGTTCACAACTGACCAAGCTATGGTTAGGTTAGTAGGTTAGGTTGACTTTACTGCTAGTTCAGTGACAATTTAGCTATGGTAAATCTCTTTGGGTTAAACATGTTATTTGTTTAACAATAGCTATATTGGATCATCCATCATTTTAGGCAGGTCATCATGTCTGACCAATGTGAAAACTTCAGAGGAGACATGGCAGAGGCTGTGCAAGTCATAGATCTGGAAGAAGTTATGAAAGAATCTGAGGAGCAAGGGTGGTAAGATATACAAAATACTGCTTACCATATGTTCTAAGTTTGTTTTGGTTATAAAAAAAAATACAATCTTAGATCCATTTAGGCTTCAAATCTAGGTGCACACAGAGACTGCAAAAAATGATTTTGTATTATTAATAACCTGCATGATAGACTTAAACACAGGTCCCATGCCAGTTTTAAATGAGGGTTGTCAGAGGGTCAAGTCACAAACAGCTTGGTAATGTCTTGAGTCCTTTTGGTCTCATATTTAACCTCTTCTATTAATATGTTGGCATTAGTTCTACTCTGTAACAATCTTAGCATGCCAAATCTCAGCATGTAAAAATATTTTGTCTGCTTAAATTAAGTAAAGATACTTTCTCAAAGCAATATATAGATTGCCCATCTCAGTCTTTTAGTGCAATAATATGAGTTGAAGTCACATGTCAATATGAAAACTTGTGTTTAGGGAACGAGAGGACCTGAGGAGACGCATCCATCAGGCTGAACTGAGACTCCAAGTGAAGGAGCAGCTCCATGAGCAATATTTAACGCATGGAATGCACCTTCAGTCCTCGATACAAGAGATGGAAGCTGAGAATGAGGCCCTTACCAACAAAGGGAACGAGTATGACACTTAAATAGCCATACTAAAAACTATTTTATTTCATCATCTCAAAGACTACACTGGTCATTGAATCAGCTAAACTCCAAAAAGCACAGTCTATAATGTTTGTAAATCTCATACCAACTAAATCATTTTGTATTCAGGTTACAGCATCTGGAAAATGTAAGAAAAAGAAGGAAAGAGGCTCTGCAGCGGGAGCTTGTGGCTGAGGATGAAACAATTGAGCTTGTGAGTAAATAGATCCACAAAAGGAAGATGGTGAATTAACTCCTCTTGTAAAATAGGATAAGAATAGATGTATTAAATCAAATTACAGGTGGGGGCAATATGCTGACAATGTCAGGAGTAGTGACCATTGTCATCTAGCCGAGTGCTGCTGTATTAGCATAACATTTGAAAACCGATTTTGTTAACAACACAACTAAAGCAAGAGAAAACAGGACTTTAAAATGATGGGTGGCATAGCTGTCTCTTTAGCCAATCAACCAACCAACCATCTCCACGTACACTATTAACTCATTTCCTATTTCTCCTCTTTGTTTTGTGCAGGAGAAGGAAAATAAAAGGCTCAAGAGGGGAATTAAGGTATGCCTTTGCCATATGCTTATGTCTTTTACAATTCTACAGCAAAAATGTGGTCTTTGAAATCAATTATAAGCATTTCATAGTTGGATACATTTTAAAACCACTTTGTAGAACAAAACACAACAGCAACTAAAAAAAAAAGCTGCTTCTCTTTCAGTTGGAAAGATTCTCAGGAGAGAAACATCAGGATCAAAAACAAGGGCTGGAAAAAGATGCACAGGAATTGCAGGTACAGTACCCTGTTAAATTGATGCATTGTTATAAAATGTTTAAATTGTAAATAGCAATGATATTATAGTATTATGGCTGGATGTTGACTCATCAAATGTTTTGCAGCATATACTGGCACAGGTTGAGGAAGACATTCGTAGAAAAGATGAGGAAATAGAGCAGGTATGAACACCTTTATCATATATTTTCATGATATCACTTTGTGAGGGATCTACTGGCTCCATTTTCCTGAGTTGTTGGTGGTATAAAAATGTCACTTAATCTGAGTGCCTTTGAGTCTGGCAGAAATCCATGACCCTGGACAAAAGATGCAGAGAAAACAAGAATTGTTACAAAACAATCAAGGTATGTACCACATACTACAGTACATGATGTTAGTTTGTGCTTACCATTGTACCTGTCTGATATTTTAACTTTCTTCTTTAGGAACAACAAGAACTCAAACAGCAGCTGGGCATACAGGCGGTTAAAAGGTTGGTGTTACTGTGTCAGAGTTTTGCTGACAGGTTTACAGTCTTAAGTACATAATTAATCATCAGGTTTTGATAACCTAGCCTGACTGAAGAGCATTTCATTGTATTATTTCTGTGTTGGCCAATTTGAAGCTAAGCTAACTACAATGACCAGATGTTTTGTGGACTGTGGACTTTTCTAACATTATTCTGTTATTTGGTTTTATAGAGCTGCAGAGAAGACATCAACAATGCTGCGACTCAGCTATTTAACTCTGGTCAATATAATATTCAGACAATTTTTTTCTACCAGCCATGGCTAACACTTTCACTTGCTATTCATTTTCATGTTGAGAGTTATTTTGGAAGATTGATATCACTGCCATGTTTGTTTGAAACTGGAGACAGCAGCCGGTAAACTTAGCATAGCATAAAGACTGCAAATCCATCGTTAAAGCACAATGTGTCGATTATACTCCTTAGTTTTTGTACTGATTTAACAAATTAGATATGTGTTTATTCATTTGGACTTTATTTGCATTTTATAGGTGCTTGTAGGCAGGTTGTGTAATGTTTGGATAGAGAAACGCTAACTCTTTCCGTGTAAAGCCTGGAATAATTTATGCTAAGCTAACTGCTTGCTGCAGCTTTTTATTTACCAGACAGATACAAGTATTTATCTTTTCTTTCAACTATTCAGAATTTCTAAAAATGTCACAGTAGTTCTTTAAATTCAGTTTGTCATAAGAGGCAGGCCTACTGCTTAGATATGTTTTGAAACAACTTTCTTTTATCTTTTTAGGCTGAGCGTAACGATGAGAGGCACCTGAACAATGAAAACTGTTTGTCGGTGACACAACACACTTACACCAAAATACTGGAAATGTTCCCCTTTCACTTATTTCTGTATTTTGTGTTTGTGGTTAGCTGTTGTTTGCGTGTCCTGTGGAGTGGTGTAAAGGTAGCAGGATTAATTTACCTCTCCATCCTCTCCCTTCATGTGGCCGCCATGTGCTTCTTCACGGACGATCATTGCAACCTTCTGACCATTGTCTTCAACCTGCTGGAGCCCTGTGGCGAACTACATCACACACACGCCTGTTTACTAAGACTTTGCTAGACCTAATGGCTTTAGTAATGCTTCACCGTATGTTGCTGTGGCAAATGGAAAGAGCAATGTGTAACTGTAAATGCACAGCTTCGTTTGGTGGCTTTAATAAAAATATTGCATGTTTGACTCGTTTTAGCCAATCTCTACCCGGAAATCTGGCTTTAGACTCAGCATACTGTACCTCACTATCCTGCTTTGTAGTTCAGCCCTCTGGTAACCTTTGACCAAGACACATTACTGTACATAGAATTACTGACCCTGACAAAACGAGACTGAGAGGACATAAAAAAGACACGTAACACTTTGCACCTGTCTGCCCAGGGAGTGATCCTTCCCAAGGTTTCTTCAACTGAACAAGGCGGAGTTTAATTTTCAAGCAATTGTCAATCCTGTTTGTGACTCCTATTCAGTCAAGATGGGCTCATTGAAAACAAAGGCAGGGATTTATTGATCTCAAATCGTGCCATAACTTTAGTAGATCATAACATAAAAGGTATGGAACTTATCTGCAGATGCCCTAGTTAGAAAATGAGACCAAACCTTTGAATTGGTGTCCGTTTTTGATCCACAACAACAGCCAAATCTTAATAAAATCACTGAAAAGAAAAGAAGGATCCTGTGACATTGGATTTCTAATACTCTGAACCATAATGATGATAGTAATGGTATTTTGTACATGTGATTTGATTATATAACAATTGTACGCCTATCTTTCTACATTGCCTTTGTTTATTTTTCATATTGTCATACACGTTGAGTCTCCATAAAAACTTAACTGACAGGATGTTTTGAAGGCACTTTGAAACATGCTGCATTACATTACTATGGTAAGGTGAAAGATGTCTAAATAATGGGTTCAAACCATGTTCAAACTAGAAAAAGGGAGGGGAATGAGGGAGCAAAATTAGCCACTCCCTTTTGGTAACAAACATAGCAACTTTATAGATAAAAATAGTTTTAAAAACATTGCCATTATAAAATTAGGGCATTTGGACCAATAACTCCCTTACTTACAGTAAGATCACTAGTGCAAAACACAAGAACTGTAGAATACCCCTCTCCCATTCCAACCTGCCTCTACCTGCTCCCACCTCCTGCCATCGTGGAGGGGCGGAGCCAAGCAATCTACAAAGTAAGCCAGCTCACCTGTGGCCAATCTTTTGCCTGGAAAAATAAGCTGGCTGGCCTCATGTTTCCTTTGATTTTAATTGTAATTATAATAGCAGTAGTTGTATCCTGTTTGCTGTACTGTGTAAATTGCATTGGTTAGTTAATCTCACTTTAAGGATACACAACAAAGGTTGCTCAATGAAAACGGTGTCTTTTTCTAACAGTTAAACTTGTGAATAACACTTAAGAATTCGACAGGGGGCTGACAATTAAATGTTTTAGAATTCAAATCGATTCAAGACATTTCTAATAAAATTGCCTTTATACTAACAAAAACATCACCTATGAATCATAAAATATCACCAGAACCTTCCTCACAGAATGGGATATGTGTGTCTTCAAGGTTTTAAACTGTTGTCCTATGAACTGTTTCTTATAAAGAGGTTTTATTTCCCCTAATGTTTGCCTTGGCATTGCCCAGACACTGTATGGGCATGATGTCAGCCATTGTGGTAAAGAGAGGTTAATGTACTCCGGCTGTGAGAGCTCTACCCTGCGGCCTGTAATTGTATTATTGCACTATAGAATTGCCAGTGGAGTTGTACCGCCCCGGTCAAGACATCGGAGCCAAGTCTATGGAGGGAGGTTAACTTGACACATAAATTGCTATCTGCCAAGATGAATAGAGCTTGCCAGAGAGCAGATGAGGAGAGCAGTGACCTGACAATGCTTCTGACAGTCTCCGTACATTCCCCGTCATTGCTCTCTTCTTTGTACACGGTGCCAGCTGCTGCTTCCTCTGATGTCTTACTGGAGCTGCCAAACATTCAGTGGAAGCGCTGCCCTGTCTTGTTTACATGCGTATATGTGTGTCTGTGTGCATAGAGCCATAAGACAATTTTTCAGTTTCCAATTGCATGTTCGCTTGGGTTATTATTGAGTACATACAAAAAAAACATGCACTTATCACACAATTTGATAAGTGCATATCAAATTGTGTTCTTGAGCCATTTCCACAACTTAAATGAGAGAAGACACAAAACATAGTACTGTCATTAGATCAGGGCCTGTAGATAACGTTTTGATTGGTTCAGGAACCTTAACTCTTAATTTTATTATTATTATTATTATTATTATTATTAGAAGAGCCTATAGCTCACCAAGGTCAAAATTGTATATCACTCTTAAACTTAATGTAAGTCAGGAAGCCTATTTTTTTAAATGACACATAATTTGTTTCCCTTAGAAAGGATTGAAACAATTCGGAACGATTTTCATGCCCAGACACAATTTCCACTGCTGGGAACAGAGCGACCCCCTATAGTGAGTTTATCAAAAATAATTAAGGGTTATAAAAAGGCAGGAGAACAACACACAGATGCCTCTTTTCATTTCATTTCAAACCTTTATTAAAGCAGGTGAATCCCATTGAGATCATCGATCTCTTTTTCAAGGGAGACCTGCTGCAAATAGGTTCCACATGAAACAGAAAAACAGAAAACAACAGAAAAACTAAAAGGACATCATACTTACAGGGATTACAATTTACATACCTAACGACATTTACAGGTACCATCAGTATCCGATTGTATAGCATCTATCCGAGCTTTAAAAACAAATAGTGGAACCAAATTGCTCAGTTTCCATTCTTTTTGCAGACTGTTCCAAGTTAGAGGAGCTGCGCATCTAAAAGCTATCTTCCCTAAGTCAGTCCTAGCACTTGGCACATGTAACAAAACCACATCATGAGATCTCAGGCAATAGCTACTTTCAATTCGCCGTGTGATCAGAGAGCAGATGTAAGATGGTAGTTTATCCAACATGGCTTTGTAGATGAAAATGACTGAGCCTCCGTACAGTTAGTGAAGGCAAACCTGCCCTGGCATACAGGGTACAGTGATGAGTGAGTACTTTACAGTTAGTAACAAATCTCAGCGCACTGTGATAGGCGGCATCTAACTTGTTCAGGTAATGGGCAGGTGCATTCATATAGATCAGATCACCATAGTCCAGCACAGGTAAAAAGGTCACAGAGACTTTTCCTGGCCTCAAGTGAGAAACAGGACTTGTTTCTGAAAAAGAAACCATAGCTTCACCCTCAGCTTTTTAAGCAGATTATTGACCTGAAGTTTAAAAGAGAGGCAATCATCAAGCCAGATACCAAGGTATTTATAACAGGCAACCACCTCGAGTACTTGTCCTTGCGTAGTAACAATATATGGTCTCCGGTGTCTTTTTGGCTTTTGAAAATAGCATTACCTTGGTTTTATCAACATTTGAAATAAGCTTAAGCTCAGAGAGCTGCGTCTGGATAATATTAAAAACAGCCTGTAATTTAACAACAGCCTCCTTAATGGAGGGACCTGCACAGTACATCACGGTATCATCCGCATAAAAATGTAAAGTTGCTCCATCCACATTTTGACCTAAACTGTTGATATAAATGGAGAATAAAAGTGGACCTAAAACAGAACCTTGTGTTACACCATTTGTAATGTTTAACCACTCAGAAGTGAGCCCATCAAAATGAACACATTGGGACCTTTCAGAGAGGTAGTTCACAAACCACCCCACTGCATGGCTGGATATGCCAATACTGAGTAGCCTCTGCTTCAAGATATGATGATCGACGGTATCAAACGCTTTGGACAGGTCAATAAATAGAGCTGCACAACTCTGCTTATTGTCTAAGATACCCGCAATATCATTCACCACTTTCATTGTCGCAGTGATGGTGCTATGTTGCTTTCTGAAACCTGACTGATGTTTATGTCATTTTTACATTAAAAACTCCTTTGTCTGTTCACTCACATAGGCTTTCAAGAACCTTGGCCAGAACTGGCAATTTAGAGATCGGTCTATAATTATTTAATAAGGTGGCCTCCCCTCTTTTTAGTAAAGGCAGGACATAAGCTGACTGAGGTGCAATAAAATCTGCAGCTATCTTTAAAAAGAAAAGTTCTACGTTGTCCGGGCCAGCCGGTTTCTTAGGATCTAACTTGGTTAAGGCTTCATGAACAACATCAATAGTAAAAGGAGTAAAACTGAAAGGGTTTTCCAAATCACATTGTTCAGAGTCTGCTTCGGTAGTGATTACAGAAGCAGAGTTAGTAACAGAATCAAACAGAGAGCCACAGGACACAAAATGCTTATTAAAGCAATTTAACATAGTGGCCCTGTCCGATATAGTGCCAGATGCTGTGGTGAGGCACGGAGGTAGCTCATTACGGATTTCACCGGTCGATATCGATTTTATGGCTTTCCAACATTTTCTAGGATTATTTAGGTTTTCTGTGGTAACTGACAAATAGTACTTAGACTTAGCACTTTTGATTTGTGATGTGAAGCTATTTCTTTGCTGCCTAAAACGAAGCCATTCTATCTCTAAGCCTGATTTCCTAGTCTTTGCCCAGGCCTTGTTTCTCTCATGCAGGAGACTAGACAATCAGCAGAAAACCAAGGATTGTCCCTTCACTCTAAATTTACGCAGGGGTGCATGTCTATCCATAATTTCCATAAAACCAAGATAAAAATAAGACCATGCAGTTTCTACATCAGCACACAGATCGATTTGACCCCAATCAAACCCAAACAGATCATGAACAAAACCCTGCTCCACAAAATGTTTTGTGTCTCTCTTTATGATAATGCGAGGTTTACCCTTTTGGACTTTTGTGTCCCTAATTGTGGCTACAGCACAGTGGTCACTCACATCATTTGCAAATACTTCCACAGATGAGTATTTATGGAGAACATTAGTTAAAATGAGATCAACTAAGGAAATGTAAATATGGTCTGAAAAATCTACTGAGTTTTTTGGGAAAAAAGTGAATGACCAATTATCTAACAGTGACCCCAGTTAGTAACAGTTGCACATGTTAAAAATATACCAAATATTTTATTGGTTATTTTTATATTGTTGAAATGTATAAATCAAAATGAATCCTGTTTTATTTTTGCATTTTTTTAATCGTGTTTAAATA